TTGTTCTCATTAATTAATATACCAACTAAAATTGGAATTGAATCTCATGAATGCTGGAAATATCAAAGGTGAATATGGGCCCATTCACCTGCCATGTATACCACATAAGATGCATCTATGATATGGTTACATGTGCGATTATTAATAACCCGCAACATGGTATTTTGCGAGGTAACTTGCTCAATAATTTAATTTCGAGCATAATTTCCAGATTTTCTATTCAAGAAGTTCATCTTGATAAGTTGGTTTACATCACAGTTGGTTTAGCAAAATGATTTATTAAGTGCCTCTACTTAATAGCTAAACAATTGCTTATGAGAACAAAGTTATCTATATCAGTTTGATATACGTTATATACCAAAGTATATTATTTTCTCCACTCACAAGTGGTTCAGGGTCAGGAACCAAATAATTCCATCTTATTGTTATTGATGTGCGGTGTATATTTTGATTAACACCATATCGCACAAAGGTGGATTCTCAAAGTTGAGGAAACAAGTCAGTTTTTCTAACATGAGGGGGAGACATGATAAACAGTTGAGAAAAAGTTATGTGGAGTGAATTATCATTTGTACATCTAGATCCTCGAATAAGATAATATGAACTCGAGGTTCATAAAAAAGATAATTCATTTGCAATATATTGCAAAGCATGCCAGACGTATTTGCTGACCCAAAGAAAGTAACTATATTCTCATTGCAAATGCTCCTATTAAGTCCTAGAAGGACAAAGTCTATGGTAAGCTTAAAGCGTATAGACAATCAGTTTCAAATAAACTTCTTGATAAAGAAGATGAGCAAATGATCAAAATGATCATAATAAAGGAGGCAAGTGATCTAGAAGATCACATGACATAACGTTTCATAAAATCTCATGAGAGATTCAGGTACCTGAATATATGAATGAAGAGATCTCTATGTTATGTCATTATGAAAATATATTGAAACTGATATAAAATGTTTGTCGACGACATCTATGATAGCACTAAGTATAGATGAGGATCTTAAGTTTGTCGCTTACAGACACAAAAATATTGGCCAAATAGAAGAGACACAATTCAAATAGAATTGGTTTCATATGAAAGACATGTAGTTTTGAACATGTAGTTCAAACACTTGAATAAAGTCAATGGTATGTGCAATCAGTTTTTCGATATCTTATATGTCTAGCATGACATGAAAACTTGATATGCATCTAAAGTCTATTATATGGCTTATATGACTTAAAAATCCTTGAAGGATTTAAATTGCGTAAAGCATATAGAATTCATGGTCATGAAGTACTACATCCTCAGTGCAATTTGTGCACAAATGTATCTTGCTATAACTATATGCATGATAATATGATAGCAAGAGTTTTCACCTCTATGTGAAGATATTGAACTGACGATTCCAACAAGATCATATGAAGACAATTCATCTATATCAAGAATGATGATTTCAAGGTGCAATATATTCATTCAAGTTAATATGCCTGATTTGTTCATCAAATCTCTACCAAAGATCTTTTGAAGATGATGCACAAGATTGGAATGCAAATGCTCAAGGATGTGAATTGATACTCTCATCAGGGGAGTTAATACGCGTTGTACTCTTTTCCCTTACAAGGTTTTGTTCCACTGGGTTTTCTTTGCAAGGTTTTTAATGAGGCAACCAAAAGGCGTATTGTTAGATATGTGTACTCTTTTTCCTTTTATAAAATTTTTTTCCCACTGGGTTTTATTTTAGTTAAGGATTTAACGAGGCACATTATCTGTTGAATAGACATTCAAGGGGGAGTGTTATAAATACAATTATATTTATGGTGAATGTCTATATTTAGAGAGATTCTAGGGTTTATTACTTGGTGGCTAAGTCACTCTCTCCCTATACATAGAGGGTTCTATTCTATTGTAATTCATCCTAAAAATCAATAAGAATTCTCTCTCCCAACTTTTCTTTGCAATACTATTCTTCTTCTTTTATTATTTCATAACAGTATTACTATAAATACCAATTTCTATAGTTAAATAAAAAATACTACAACAGTTAAAAACTGCCCAGGGCTTTGGTCCAGTGGTAAGAGTGCAGTTTGTGATGTGTTAGTTCCGCCACGTCACATGTTCGAATTCCTTGGCAAACAAAATACATGGTATTTAAGTGGAGAAGGATAGAGAAGCGGGCCCAGTATCACATTACCCATTGTCGTCTCATAATAGTGATGTTCTAGATAGGTTGTTGTTAGATCACTGTTCCTAGGTACATTATGTTTCTTTATGTGCTTGTATTTGTGGGTCATTAACTGCTTGTATAGATATGTACACAAGAAATTCAGTCAGCAATATAAAGCTACAATTGGAGCTGATTTTGTGACAAAGGAGCTTCAAATTGATGACAGGCTCGTGACTCTTCAAGTGGGTTATTCTGCTTTGTCTTTAATGTCTAAGATGAGCTCAATAGTTTTGGTGATTATGTATTTAGTGGATGAGCTTATGTTTGTGATTTACTAGTAGATATGGGATACAGCGGGCCAGGAGAGGTTTCAAAGTCTCGGGGTTGCATTTTATAGAGGAGCAGATTGTTGTGTTTTGGTCTATGATGTCAATGTAATGCGATCGTTTGACAACCTTGACAACTGGCATGAAGAGTTTCTCAAACAGGTAACTCATCGGCTTCAGTGGGTTTTCCTTATTACTGTTCTTAGGATATCTTGAACCTTATTCATACATGTCTAACATTCCACGTTTTTAACAAGTTAATTCCTCTGAGATGCTTGTTTGCCTGTAAATCAGGATGAAATATATTTTCTTTTAATCCTGCTTTGTAAAATATGCTTGGGATTAGGGACAACAACTAATGATAGACACATTGATCCATAATAAAGTTTTCTATTAGCCTATTACGGTGCTAAGTTGGTGATGTGGATCAACTTGTGAGCTCTTAAGTCACAATCAGAAGGTCACAATATATTTCATACCTATTTGTTAGTGAAGCTTCGACCTTACAGCATATTGTAAATTCAATTTTATTTTCAGTTTAAGCTACTATCTCTTTGTATAACGCCCTCCATCTAATTTTATGTCCTTGCTTGATTGAGCATGGAATAACATGTCACCATACCTTTAGTGCATCAATCAGGACATGTTCCTGTTAGGCTGCCCTTATTTAGTTGATTGATTATAATCTTCCTTTGAAGTGGGTAACACACAGCGCATTCAAATGGAGAAATTCGCAAATGCTCGAACAAACTAACAGAAGAATTTATATTATGATCATGTTGCATTTGTACTGCTTAAGTTTTGCAGTGAGAAGTTGGGGATAGCCAAGATCTAAAAGAAAAATCGACAAAGGTGCTACCTGCTTTTTCTACATATTTATAGGTATAAAAGTGGGTAGTGAAGACATTTTGCCACCTTTCTATTAAGGTGTTAATTGAGAATAAGAAACTTCTGTCTAAGTTCCAACATCTAGGTGAACTGGGAATTATGAACAAGTAAACATGAATATAAACAAGCAACCAAATAAGGAGCATCTTGGCTAGTGATCTTTCCAAAGATGAAATCATATACTATTTCCCACGACTATTGCATAGGGTATCGCATAAGGTTATTGTTTGGAGGCAAAGGATTTGGAGTTCCTGCCTGTTTGTATCAAATCACATGCAACTTGTCAATTCTACTTTGGACAAACCTTACCTATCAAAAAGAGCAATAAAAAGTTCAATTTAGGCACAGCGTTTGGGATTCATAAAATTATATGACCACTCAAGAGATTCTTATCCCAATAGGATCTCAACAAATATAAGACTTGGTTTTTGCCTTCTAGTGAATCCCCAAAATAAGTGAAAAGACAAGTGAAAGGCCTAGTTATGGAGATAAGAATTTTTTGAACTTCCAGAAAAAGAAAAAAAAAATCTTCATAATTTCTGCATAGAACTCCACAAAGTCAAATATTAATTGGACCACTCTTGCTGTTACTTGAAATGTTATGTCATTTTCTAGATCCGACCCCGATTAATTTTTGATTGATGAGTAATTGATTTATAAATTTGATTGAATTGCTGAATAGAGATCAACTATGTGTTCTATCTGAACCAACTGAGTTTATTGTTCTGCAGGCTAACCCACCAGACCCTAAGACATTTCCATTCATATTGCTGGGAAACAAGATTGATATAGATGGTGGAAATAGCCGAGTGGTAAGACATTTACAATGCTTTGTTTTTCAGTTATTATCCCTGAAGTTTTCTTGATATATTCTTTGCACGGTTAACAGGTTTCTGAGAAGAAGGCAAAGGAGTGGTGTTCTTCAAAAGGGATACCTTACTTTGAGACATCAGCAAAGGAGGATATAAATGTTGATGCCGCCTTCTTGTCTATTGCAAAAACTGCTTTGGCCGATGAACACGAGCAGGATATGTGAGTTTATATTATCCTTTTGCATGATTATAAAGAAAGCACAATATTGTTGTCCTTAGATTCTATGCAATATAATGCATATGTAGCTAGAACTTTTCTGTTGTAGTTATTGACTACTTTAAGACTTCTTTGGTAATCAAAGGCTGTAAGTTGAGCCAACTAAGGAATGTGTGGCCAAAGATGTTAAACATCATGATTCTTAGATATGAGCAATAAGAAGCTCTCAGTGGAATGTGGTGGAACTGTCTTTTTAAAATAGGCAAAAGATGTCTCTTAAACTATGGATATGGAGGTATAGCTGTCAAGTTTAATGATGACAAGTACATGGAAAATCACAAAGAGCAAAGTTATGACAAAGACTAGACTAAATAGGTTCTTTCACAGGGTTAGGGTGGTCTTCAAAATCCATCTAAAGTACAGCTCACTTTGCGGTTTTGAGGTTCAGAAATCTAGGCTAAGATATTGAAAATTTAGCTGATGACTGAGCCTGGAACATTCTCAATAGCAAAGAATTTTTTTCCGTTTTGGTTCACATTTCTAGGTAACGCAATAGTGATGTATATTTTAGAAAAAGAAAACGTGTCATCGTTTGAAGCTCTAAGCTTAAGGGACATGAATGGTATTCATCTGTGTCATGATTTTAGTGGAAGTTATTACTAGTCTTAAGGAACAACAGAGTAGGCAAAAGCGATAAGCGAAAAAAGCTCCAAAAATTTTGGAGCTTTAAGCGCAAACACTATTAAACCATGGGCTTCAGCGTAGAAAAGCGCCAATGAAGAAAAATAAAAGATAGAAATATAATGCAAGAAAATGTAACTATAAATACAAAAAATAATTATTTGGAAAAAAGAATGAAAAAATTGCAACTAATATATATATATATATATATATATATATATATATATATATATATATATATATATATAT